ATAACTTATGCATATGATCAATGAAAAAACTTCAACAAATCCAACTCAGATCCATTTTAAGGCGAAATAATACGTCGTAATAATGAACGTGTGGTCGACTTTATATGGAAAAAATTGGATTTTGGAATTTCCCTCCCTCCCACCTACAATTAGTGATTTTCCCGCAATTCTCATAATTTGGCAAATACTTGAAGTTAGTGATTGTGAGTCCGTATCCCAAGTTTCATCATGATAGGCCGATGTTTAAGGAACTTATAGCCATATATAGGTTCTCTCTGCTCAAGCGCTGCCCGCTGCTGTTGTTGGTGCCGCTGCTTTGGTTGAACTTTGTGCTGCATACATTCTTACACAGACACGAATAGACACGCATAGACATGCATACACTCACGTAGACACAATTCCTATGTAGGTGTGCATTTATACACCCTTTATGTGAGTTCGAATACCAAGGAAGGTAAAATCAATCCAAAATTTTGTTTAAATTTTCTTAATTTTTTTAATTTCTATAATTATTTTACACATACATATGTACAGAGTATTTCAAAGTTGGGACACCCGACTTTAGCTTCTCCACTGGTTTTTTTTTTTTCTTGGATGCAGACTATGTAATTTTTGTGACTGAAATTGTATCAAGCTACTGTGCTTGTAGTAGTCTTTCTGGTGCGCCTAAAATTCAACAGCAATAACAAAACACGCAAAAATATAAAAAACGGTTGAACGTCCGCAGGTCCTGAGTTCATTCACCATTGAAACCAAAATCAAGATACAAAACGACAACGGCAGCAACAGCTGCGTCGACGGAGACGACTACGACGATTTGGTTAAGAGGGACATCGTGTCGGCGAGGGGTGGTGGTGGCAGCTATGACGAGAGTGCTGACTACGAAGCGTTGGCAACAGCAGAAAATGCTGCGATGCATACGTAAGACATAAAGATGTTAAAAAATAATACTCATACATATTTACCTACATATGTACATACATTTATGTACATCATATATAGAGAAAAATAAATGCAAATGAACAATGTGAGTCAAGCAAGTCAAACAAACGAAAACAACTTGCCACGAAGCTGTTATTGCACTTCTCTGCCATTTGTTGAGAAGTGTGTAAATAATGCGAATAGTATCAAAAAGTGGGAGCCGCAATACACGCAAACATATGCCTATGCCTATGTATGTATGCGTGTAGGAGAACGAAATGAAAATATGCAAATAAAATGCGTATATGTGGGCTGAAGTAGGTTAATAATACAATAATAACAACAAACATCCACTCAAAAAGGAAAGAATCGACTGCAAAGAATTCATCGAAGGACAAGGGTGCATTGACCGATAGGCACGCACTAAATAGACATCAAACTATACTGCTTTCAAGAGCAGAAGTAATTTAATTGTTACCGGAATCCCTTCTGTTAGCATGTATTTATTTTATTTGACCATGGTCTCGTGTCATTAAATGGCGAATGCATACTCATACATATGCAAATATTAAGCAAATTAATAAGTATTATCCAGATGTTTAGAAATTGTGGAGAAGGTTGTATTCTGTCTGTGCATTTAATGTGGTTTATTGTCTTGTAATGAAAATTAATGGCCTTAGCCAGGAAAAGTGAAAACGCAAATGTCCCTCTAAATAAAGATGAAGAGCCTCTGTTCTGCGATGCTAAAACTGTAGTCAAATGACGAAAGAAAATATAGAAATTTTGGCCGAAACCAACACCAGTTTTTTAATATAGAAAATCGTCTTCATGGCCCGCATAGAACCCTTTCGGACTGCTTACGTATACGTACTATGTTTAGAATAATTATATAAATTTGTTTAAATTAAAAAAAAGCGAAAAAAAACATTAAAATATATTGTTAGAAAGGAAAAAACTAATTTTTTATCGATTCTTATTGCACATTATCCTGATGATTGCACATTTATCACGATGATTGTGTGTCTATGCGTGTGTGTGTGCTATATAGAATTGCGCCAAATCGGTTACAATAAAAACAGCTGCAGATTTCATATATAGCTATAACTTACTTTTCAGTTGACATACAGACACAAAAGCACTAACCGGATGTAATTGTCGAAGTAGAACTTTAGCTAAAGGAAATACCAAGGGGATACCATGTTTTATTATTTTAGCTCTTGCTATTTCCTCGCGCTTAAACAAACGGACAGTCGAACATAGCTATATCGACTCGTCTTTTTTCATACTGTTTCTTTTTGTGTGCTACATACTTTCGCATTAAACTAGTTTACCCTTTGCCCTTTGGGTATAAAAATCAAATTTTAAAACTGTTGTATCATTGTAGGGCTAGAAACATTTCGCACTCTCCTCGTCAATACTATACTATGATTCACAGTAACAATAAATTCTGCAGATTGTCTTATCAAAATACTTGGGTCACAAAAATCAGAAGGTCCGCTATATTTAAATTTGTCGTAAAAGGCGCATGTTCATCAGTCAAGTTTATATTACTTATACGTTTTTTTATTTGTTACTATTCGTGGGCTTGTACTTTTAAGGGACCATTTATTGGGGGGGTGGTAATGACATACAATACAGTATATACCCGAAACGAAGTATAATTTTCTAAGCAGTTCGAAATGTAATCAACCTAACGAGGCTAATCAATGTCCGCACGTCCGTACATTTTTTTTTTATATATTTGATACGTATAATAACAAACCGTACAAAAAACAGCTCCTGATGAAATAGAAACAGTATTGCTAAAATGTTGTAGCTAAGGCGGTGAGAAGAATTGTTTTTCGTTTAAAATCGGCAGATCTTAGTGCGAATTGCCATCTATGGAATACCCATGTTAAATAGACATAAATTATCGCAAGAGCTTTATTTCGCGCTTAGCCAGTTGCCAAGTTGTTTTTAGATTGCACAGCATTTTTATTTGCCATACGGCTAGCTATGCCCCGATTCAGAGCAAACTGTGTTTAAAGACATTAACAGACCTAACAAGTCAAAAACCCTAATTCTCATTAGATAACTTAATGAGAAAACAAGTAAAAAAGCTAAAGTCGGGTGTCCCGACTTTGAAATACTCTGTACATATGTTTACAATAATTATGGAAAATAAAAAAAATTAAGAAAATAAAAAAAAAATTTGATCGATTTTACCTCTCTCGGTATTCGAACTCACGTAAAGGGTTTATAATTGCACATTTACATAGCAATTGCGTCTGTGTGAGTGTATGTATGCCTATGCGCATCTATTCGTGTCTGTGTAAGCATTTTCGCAGTCAACCAAACAGCAACATCAACAACAGCCGCGGGCAGCGCTTGAGCAGCGCTGCAGCAGCAAATATATTTATGGCTATAACTTCTCGTTAAATCGGTCTATCATTATCATGGCATACGGACACATAATAACCAACTGGGGGTATTTCCAAAATCTTAGTTCGAAATTCCAAGAATTACGGGAGTTAGCGAAAATCGCAATTTGCGGGGGAGAGGGGAGAGGGAGGGAAATTCCAAAATATACATTTTCTGCGTATTCACATAAGGCATCTGGGACTAAAATTTGTTCCTAGGTCTTATAGTCTCTGAGATATAGGCAATTATACGAATGGAAAATCGGAAAAACCCCCATAGGAGGGAAGTGGGGGGGAAAATCAAAAAAATAAAACAAACTCGTATAGAATACACACATAACGCATCTTTGGTGTCTCTATCTCTAATAGTCTCTGAGATCCAGGTGTTCATACGGACGGACAGACAGACAGACAGACAGGGCTAGATCGACTCGTCTCGTCATGCTGATCAAGAATATATATACTTTGTGGGGTCTGCCACGCCTCCTTCTGCCTGTTACATTTTTCAGCTCCCGCAAACCTAATATACTTCTGTACATTTCATGTACAGAGAATAAAAAATCTTTTTTTCACTTCCCGCAAACCTAATATACCCTTGTACATTTAATGTAGCGGCTTCAAAAGTCGGCTCTGAATAAAAATATACATACATACAAATAGAAAAGAAAGGTTGAAATTCATCGAGCTCAGTATTATGATTATTTTGTGTGTCATTTTATTTCGGGTAGTTTTACATTCCAAACAAATATAGTTAACATCAAAGTACTTCAAACCCGTAGACCTTTGGATGTTTTTGCAAATTTTTAAATTCAAAGTCAAATGGCGTCAAAAAAAATGAATGCCATATATGCGCACATACATAGACAAAAAACAAAGCAAAGCAGCAAATACATATCTTGAATCTTACAATAAAATACCAAAAATGCAAAAAATCCGCTACTACGACAACAAGCTTCAGTGGCAAACGAAATACACTTGAACGTGAGTGAAACAAAATTCATGACCCACTTTATAAAACGCTTTTTCTTTCATCCGTGACCCACTTTAATATTTGTAGCAATAAATGTTGCTGCTGCAGCTGTTGTTGTTGGTATACGGACGAGCTACTGAGCGGCTGAGTCAGTAAGTGAGAGTGAGAGACCGCGCTGAGCGCACCACAAGCACAGCTGAGCATTCAAACAATTATGTGGTTGCTTAAATGAATGCCTTTAGTAAGACCAGATACGAGTTAACTGAGCTCAGGTTTACGGGGGCTAAAATGGGTATGTTTAAACTAGTCAGTTAATATAAACAGCCACTGCTAAAATGCTAAAACAACTCGGTATTTTCTAAAGAGCAGGTATTTGTTCTCTATCCACATAGCATATATGGAAGTAAATCAAAAACACCGATAACTACAAGGTGCTTTCGAAACAAAACAGGACTTTTTGAATCTAGCGCCCCCTGGTGGCGCTATCTATATGTCGACTGGTGCGTTAGAATCCGCTATCTTAATCGATTTAATCTTAATCTTGTATAATAATCCGAAAAAAAAATTAAATATGTACAACAAAAATGTGTTCGTTTATACTTCATAATAAGTATATATTTGATTAATTGTTTTAAATTTTAAGTTTTTTGCTAAAAAATGTTGCAACTAAAAATATATAATACAACCTATTTCTTCTGCAACAATTTTAGGCTTAGCCCAAGTGATTTACCAGATCATTGGGCCTCAGGTACAGCGAGCGCAACACCAACAACGGCAACAACAGCATCTAGCAAGAGCAACAGCAGCTCGAGGCACAGACCCTCCACGTACAATAACAGCGGCGGCAACACAGTTTGTCATCTGCCTCGTTCATCTCCTGCAACTGCAACCGCAGCCGTTACTGTTTCCACCACTTGTGGGAGCCTGCTAACTGGCCCGTCACCGCTGTTGCCTAGTTTAGCGCCCACAACGCCGCTGCAGTTAAACACGGCAGTAGGCATTGGTGGTGCTGCTGGTGGTAGTGGCGGTGGTGGAGGTGTGCCAGGAGGCGCACCAGGCGGCGGAACAAGCAATAACTTGTTAGCACTGCAACAACAGCAGCAACATCAGCTAGCCTACCATCAGCAGCAACTTCAGAATCATCCTCATCAACAACCCTCTCATCATTTAAGTCATAGCAAAGCGACGTCTGGTTCTACAGCCACAGCCAATATTGCAGCTGCGCTGCAACGCTCCGCTGCCAATATGAATGCAGTAGCATCGCCGATCTCAGCTAATTCGGCAACGTCAACACGTAAAATACGACGAAAAACGGATCCAAAGGTGAATTTGGTAAGTTTTTATAAAAACAATTACAAATTGCGTAAAAAGGATGTACAGGAATTATTTTTCGTTTTAACACGTTTTTATTAGCTTCACCTGTATGTATGTAACGGAATCTTTCCGCGTAATTTTTACCAATTTCCAAAAGTCTGATAAACTTGAAAATTTGCACAGGGATCAAGGACTGATGACAATACAATTATTTTTTAACTTTGTTTTAATGTCCTGACTAGAATCATCAGGATAAATAGAAACTCTTTAGAATAGTTTGCAGGCTAATGCGATGGTAAATGACATTCTTCTTTACCGATATAAATAAATAAAATAATTACCACTAAAGTATATTAAATTTAAATTAATGGTACGATTGTGGTACCATAGATGTCACTACGGAATGTTTCTACGGAAGGCCGGGGTTCAATCCCAGGTATGGGAAAAGACATGAACGGGGGGAGGTACGTTCAGGAAATTTACATTTTGTCTGACCTGACCATTTCGACAATTTTATGATGTGTTTAATATTTAATTCAAACACTTGACCTTTTATTTTTCATTAGTGATTATTGATATTTGGGTGCATTCAGTTGGAATTTTCGCGCTATAAGTTAGGTTGTTTTTTGTTTGTTTTTCTCTAATTCCCAACCGGCTTAAGCCGCTTTATATTCAGGTCGGTCTTTTTCCGAAAATTTTTATTTTTATACCTAATGATATTAACAAGTATTGAACATTTTCGTGGGAGCTAAAGTTATGTTGAGATCGAATATTGACTTGGCAAAAGGTTCAGTAAATGGATAACTATGGATATTATCACTGAAATTATTTGGCCACATTTCCGCCGTGATCAAATATATGACTCAGACATACCATCAGTCTGTATTGACTTTGGTTAAGACGGTATACACCTAATTATACCAAAAAAAAAAAGTTTCGAGTAAAATATAGCTATGGTACCACTGAAAGGCGAATGTTACCATTAATCCTGAGTTGGGCATCCCTCGTAAACAAAATGCAAAGCTGTACGATAGATCATGCAGTTAATTATCTGGGATCTCCATTGTTTGCTGCCGGATAGGCTTATGTAGCTCTGAGTCGCGGAAGGTCATCAATGGTATTCGAATAGAAGAACTTGATTGCTCGTAGTTAACGGGAAAAGTTGCATGTAATAGTGATGCGTTAGATGAAATGAAAAGGTTACGTAAGCATGAATGAAATGAATTTAGATTTATTGTCAAACATAAGACACCCTAAAGATCAAGACTCTTTATTTATATAATAAGGTGAAATTTATTATACTTTCATAATGACTTTAAAATTACAAACAATTCTTACTGAAATAATTGTAACTCTCAAGAACCCCGCGCTTGTTTACTATAATTGAATTATTTTATTAATAATTTAATTTTTATTTTAATTTAAAGTCCATATTAATTAGTCGTAATTGATTGTTGTAATTTTCTATTGCTATAACACAAGCTCTTGATAGTTAAAAATTATTTTCTACTTTTTAGTTCTGTTTGTCATGGTTTACAAAAGGGGGAAAAAGGTTAACCGAAATTGGGGTCATTAAGTTTTTCGAGCTGTTAAATTTTTAGGCGGTTTTCAAAATTGAAAAACAAAAACCATAATAAACATACATTTTTCGGAAATAATATGCTCCATGTATTTCAATAACCTATATGCCACACACTAAATATAATTTTCTTTTGTAGCCTCAATCGCAAATTAATAAATGCAACAATGAAAAACGACGTCGGGAAATGGAAAACAATTACATTGAACAACTTTCCGAGCTTTTGCAGTTGAATAAACGAGGAGATATGACATCAACGAAACCCGACAAGGCGGCAATTTTAAATCAAGTAGTTCGAGCGGTAAGTAAAATACTAATTCAACTTAAGATAATACAATATTCTCAATGATAGAAAATGTATTAAATTGTATAAATATTTAACATCTTAATTAAATTGGAAAAAAAACCCCCATTAAACCAACCATTTGTAAATGGTTATTACATATATGTTGTTTATGTGCAAATTTTCATTTGAATGCCGTCGATACCGCTATTTATGTGTATGTTTATCGCAAGCATAGACAACAACAAACATAGCTACTAACAAGGCATGGGCAGGAAATACTTTACTGGGTATATATGCTTATGTTCAATTTTGCCTGTGGAGCGCAATTAAAATATTTGTGAAAAATTTGGTATTATGCAGAATTCTTATCTTGTTCAATCCTCCATGCTCCATTTTAGTATCGTGATATCTGTGACAAAGGGCAAAGCCGTGATATATCTTCAACCTCTACCAATAACAACTCCACGACAACGACTAACAACAATAGCAACAAACAACAAACAACCTCAATCCGTTGTACACGCTGCGCAACAGACAACTGCTCAATCCACCCTGTGCAACAGGGGGAAGTCTCCTCGACGGAGTCACCACTGCCGGAGCCATCTATGCTTAACGGACAAGTGCCGGAAATTTCGGCGTATTTTGAGGCTCTCGAACATTACATCAGTTCAGTGGGCTGGGTACTGTTACAAGTCAACGCGAACGGCATCATCGAATCTTGCACGCAAAATATACGCGAATTAATCGGATATGAGAAGCAGGAACTGTACCACCAGCCACTTTATATGTACCTGTATGCTGGGGATCACGCAAAGTTGGAGCCAATTATAAATAATATGTACAGCGGTGTTGGTGTAAGTGGCAGGGGTGCGAGTGTTGGCTCAGCTGGGACTAGCTGGGGCGATCTAGATGAACTGAACAATGGTAACGCCTCGCAGCAGTCAGCGGGCTCGAACTCAAATTCTAGTGGTGGCGGCGGAGGAGGAGCCTATAAGCCCAAACGCAGCATTTCGACCAAAGTACGCATGCTAGTCAAGGACACCCGGCCAGCAACTCAGACTTCCAATTCCGGCACGTTAGATGCTTCAGATCAAAAACCCTTGCGGCAAGTAGGACAACAGGACAAATATGAGGAAGTAGTTCTCATAGCAGCGCCGGTCAAGGGTAAGTGCCAGTTTCAGATTCAACTTGACTTATAGCTTAGAAGAAAAATGTTCTTTATAGTCTGACATTTTTGAACCATACTTATTGACTTATCACAAAATTTATATACATATGTATGTATTTCGAAATTCAACTCCACAAAGCGATGTCACTTCTTTTCTCTCCCATATTGTCCCCTTATTATCATTATTCGCGTTCTACAATCAGTAGATATTATTATATCTACAAAAAATTGTAACTAAGCGCGAGTGATGTAGTGTATAAAATATAAATAAATATATATATATATATATATATATATATATATATATATATATATATATATATATATATATATATATATATATATATATATATATATATATATATATATAGTTATATAATTTGTTGGTTCTCTTTTATTCCATTATAGACGATGCAGATGCCAACAGCTCGGTGTTGTGTCTCATCACACGACCCGAGGATGAGTCCCCGCTAGAGATCAATATGCAGCAGCACGTGCAGCAGCAGCCTATAGAACAGATGACGTTTAAGCTGGACATACATGGAAAAATACTCAGTTTAGATGCAACAGCGCTGCGTGAACCTTTTAAACAGCACCTGCAGACATGGGTGGGCCGCTTGTGGCAAGATCTGTGCCACCCTCACGATCTCTCCATGCTCAAGTCCCACCTACGAGACATACAGGACTCTGCGGCCGTACACTCACCAGGCAGTGCCAGTGGCGTACCTATATTGAATCCGCCTATAGTAAATGTTGTTTCGCGTCCATTTCGCCTGCGTCTTGGCACGCCCGATGTCTATGTCCATATTAAAGCCAATTCGAGACTTTTTCTGAACCAGACGCCTGGAGAGAGTGATTTTATCATGTCTGTGCAGACGCTGCTCAACTCCGAAAACGATATGAACACCAACAATACAGGAAGTGCTGGTGCTGGTGGCACTGGCATTGGCTCAATATGCGCCATGTCCCCGGGCACTTCTCTGGTTAGCACATTGTCCTTAGATGCATTGTCCGGATCCAATTGCTCCACCTCAAGTGGACCTGCGACAATTCTACCAGCACATCTTCTAGGCGGTCTAGTAGGTGGAGGACAACACAATAACAGTACGACCAACACACAGACTACAAATGTGGGTGGTCCTTTGATGAGCTCGGCCATAATCAATGGCAATGCATCTGGAAGCATGGGGCATGCCCATGTACCTGGGGGCGTAGGTGGCATACCGGGGGGTATACAGCAGAGAGGCATGTCCTCTGCGTCCGCATCGGCTTCCACGCTTGTCAATTCCTTTACTGCGTCACCAGCCGGAGCTGATCATTCGTTTTTCGGCAGCGACAACTTTGAATTTGACATTGCACATTCCTCCTTCGATATGGATCCAACTAGTGGCGTCAGTGCCTGGACGGACTCTCGGCCCAATTCTAGAGCATCCGTGGCTACACCAGTCAGTACTCCCAGGCCACCATCCGGCCACGGTTTCAGCCCAGCCGTGTGTGCATCGCCCTCGACACCTTATCAGCTTTCATCGCATTCAGCTGCCAGCTTACCATCGCCGCAGTCCAACGCTAGTGCTGGTGGACCTGCCAGCAACTACGGCTTCAGTTTTCACAACTACGATGCCTCTGATAGCAAGCCAGAAAAAGAGCCCCAACTGAACAACAACAACAACAGCACAAGTAGTAATAACAACAATTCCATAGTAAGCGGCACAGCTGGAGGGCTACCGGATGGAAGCAGTGGTTTACTTATGACGCAACAAACGCCACCGCAGCCGGAATTGGAGCGGCTTAGACATCTGCTGACGAAGTCCCAGACCCACGCCATGCAAGGACTTGGTGATGATGAAAAGGATTTGAATGCGCCAAAGGTAAGAACAGGTGGATAAGTTACATATTATCTGCTTCTAACCTGTGTGCTGTAGTATTTTAAACAGGAGACCAGCGACGATGACAAGCTAGGTGGGCCAAGCCTGAGCAATAGTAATGCTACAGCGGGTCTCTTTAAATTGAGTCAGACCAATGCAGCTTTGTTTGGGATTTCCAGTCGTGGCGCCGGCCCGGGAATTTTGCAGATGTCAGCAAATTCCAAAAATCCAATGCTTTTGTCGGTAAGTTTAGGTGTAGAAGCAATAAACTCATAGTCAAATCCCTAGAATATCGGATCAGTTCAAAGTTTGATAATTACAAATTGTTTATAAAGATTAGTGGACATTCACTTCATTAAAGCAGAGGATGAAAAGCGCCTTTGCTATTTGAACGATTGTTTTTCCAACATAGTTATTATACCAAGAGATATTTATTGTTTACAAATTTAACAGGAAAGTTTTGTGTTTTTCTACAATACAAATAACAAGAGAGAACGCTACAGTCGAGCAAGCCCGACAGTGTAATACCCTGTACCCAGGTAAACTTCCGTCACTGAGTTATTTGCGCCCAAAGCAGCAGCAAAAAGAGGAAGAAGAAGAGCGAACTTGTTGCTGCAGTTTGTGGGGGTTGTACTGGCGAGAATTTGTTTTGCTAATAACTTTTCTTAGAATCGACCGAATTGAATAAAATTTAGAACAACAGTAGACAATTATATATAAATTATGTGTAAAAAGTTTGGTTTAGGTAGCATTTGAAATGTGGACGCTATTGACGAAATTCTGTAGCGGGGGAAGGGGGGGGGGAAATTAAAAAAAAAAATAAACTCGTCCTTTCTCGGACCTAGGAGAATCTGGATGCCAACTTTGGTTATTCTAGCTTTTATAGTTTCTGAGATCCTCGCGTTCATCCAGACGGACGGACAGACGGACGGACATGTCTAGATCGATTTCTCTCGTCATGCTGATTCAGAATATATATACTTTATGGGGTCGGAGATGCTTCCTTCTGTATGTTACATACTTTGCACAAACCTAATATACCCTTTTTACCCTACGGGTACAGGGTATAAAAACTTTCGCCCAGTTCGAATGCAAATTGAAAGATGTTTACAAGTGAAACATATAATAAAATATAAGAGTGCGTTCTTTAACATAAAAGTAAGCTGTTCGCAGCCAGCTGTAATGCAAAACTCTAAATAAAAAAGAATTATTATTTTTTTTTTTATTTGGTTTAGATTTTTTTATGCAATTCAAAAAAGTGCATGAGGCGAAAAATAAATTAACCGCCATAATCTAAAGGGCATTTTTTGTTGCTGTGAGCAACGTCTGTTATAGTGCAGCCACCGTTTTTTTAGAGGGTTTATTTTTTTAAGAGTATAGCAACCTGAAAAAAAATTAAAATATTTGCACACATTTTTACATTTTTACATTTTTTTTTTTTAATTATACACATCAGACATTAATTCTAATTATTCATGACTTGCAGTTGCTAAACGAAAGGTCTGAAGATGACGATGGCAAAGGAGCTAGTGCGCAAGGTGCTGTGAGCAATGCACGGCAAAGCGAGCTCATGCGTCAACTCCAGAAAGACGATGGTGGTCATAGCGGCAGCAGTTCTCAGAACAACAGCAACAATATGAGTAACGAGGATCTCAAACGCATGCTCAAGATACAGAGCGATCCGGCTATGAGCCGGAAGCGCTCATTAAATGAGCCTGATGATGATATGTCGGCCAAGAGATCAGAAGATAAGCCCTCAAAGTTATGCGAAAAGAACAAAATGCTAGCGAAGCTGCTGCAGAATCCCCCAAAGATACCCAAAGCACCGAATCCCGAGCAGCCATTGCAGGTAAAGACGTTGCCGGACATAACTTGCTCATCGATTAACAATGTCAGCAGTACACTAGCGGCACCGGGCAATCTAATAAGCGCAGGTAGTACCGGTCCAACGCCAAAACCTACTGCAGCGGGACGTGTTCGTAAACAACAACAGCAACCGCAACCAAACGATGTCTACCTCCCGCAACAACAACAGCAGCAGCTATCTGCTTACCAACAACAGCAAGCAACAACAGCAACTACCTCATTAAGCACAACTTCAGCCTCAACGGTCAGCCATGCCGATGGTGATACGGAGCTGTCAAAGCTGTTGGACAGCGTCATGGACTACTATACGGATGATACGCCAATAGTGCCGAGTGCACCTTCTGAGGCTTCAGCAATCAGTGACATACAAAAATCGCTGATGCTGGACGTGGAGTCCGCCACATTTGGTCATGTAATGGGTCAGCATGGACCAGGAATGCTGAGCATGCCACAACATAATGAGCAACAGCAACAGCGTCACCAGCTCATGCAAACACAGCAACCGCCCGCCTATCCGGGTATGCTTAGTTTACAGCAGCAGCAACACCAGCAACATATGTTGCAGATGCTGCAGCGACAGCAGGCCACAGGCGGACCGCAACAGATCAATATGCAGCACCAACAGCTCGAAGTCATGAGAAATCAGGGCTTTCAGCGCCCTCCTCCCATGTACCCTGCTCGTGGACGCGGTCCAATGAACGCTGTGGCAACGCCCGGAGGTGGTTTGGTGTTGCCACCGCAGCAGCAATTCCGCAACATGCGACAACAACAGCAGCTTGCAGCGGCCCAGCAAAAGGAACGGCTTTTACAACAACAACAAAAGCAGCAGCTGCTTGTGCCCGAAAATGCCAGTAAGTAATGTTGATCTGGATACAATTAGTCCGGCTATGAACAAAATTCCTTAGACGTAATAGCAATGCATCCATTACGATAGCTGACGGTTCGACGCATTTCTGTATAAAATACAAATTTTATTACGATATTAGTGTAAAACATGAATGGAATGCTACAGTCGGGTAGATCCTACTCTTAAATACCCTGTACCCTCTAGAAAAAAGTTGCTCACAAACGCACATTGAAAAAGCATTATATAACCCATATTTGTCGATTTAATAAATATGAAAATATTTCTTTGTTCGCCTACGCAGCGGGTGTGAGTGCCGGTATTAACAATATTAGCTCACTACTCAATGCACCTGTGGCCCCGAACGTTTCGCTGTCACGTACCAATCTACCCGCAGATGCCCAACTCAGTCCAAATTTTGCGCTTATGCAGCAGCAGCTGAGTCCAGGACGCAGCACGCCTTATAGTCCCCAGCCAAATCAAGGTAAGTCTTCAGCGTCGCCTCCAATCACAGAACCTAACAATCTCCAAAATATCCAGGTTACGGGCCACAATTTCCACAAAGTACACAACGTCTCTCGCCACAGCAACAGCTTAGTCACCAGCAGCAGAGCAATGCTCAGCAGCAACAGCAGATTAGCGCCTACCAACAGCACCAAATAACCGATGGGGGTCGTGTGAATACATCCTTCGGAGGCACCCCGAATTTGCAATCTACCGGCATGCAGAACAATCCGCAGCAATGGGCTCCAGGCACTGTTGGCACTAGCAATGCAACGCGCACACTACAATCTCATAACCCCAATCTACTGGCGCAATTACAGGTTTGTAAGACCCCATTCCAATTAAGGTAAGATAGTATAACCAATTCTACTATATTTCACAGGGTGGAAGTCCTTACAATGCCCGCCAGTTTCAACAGAATCAGCGTCGTGGCGTAAACTCACCAAACACCGTGGGTCCCGGTAGCAACGCAGGACCTCTGCAACGACAAAATGCATTTCAGACGCAGGCAGGCGGTGTTTCAACACCCGATGGGAGCGGCTTTGGAGGACCCCACTCGCCGTATGGCAGCAGCGGAAACGTTTTCCAGCAGCAGCAATTGCAACGTTTGCAGCGACAAAGCAGCGTACCCCAAGCGACGCAACATTTACCAGGTAAGTAGCGGCGGGACTAATGCAAGTTAGCCGTCTTAAGATTTAGCATTTCCAGGATTGCGGGGCTGACATATATGTTAACTGTCTCGTAATGAACACATGACTCAAAAATAGAATGTATTGATTATCGAGCAAAGAATTCGAAAACATTAAATATTATTAAGTAATAGCCAAATAAATTGAAATGTATTCCTTCCTATCCTAATGGGTAGCTCATTAGCGAACTAAAAAGTATTTTTCGTCTGCTTCGGATCTATTTACCTAAAACGTCATGCCTCAACGACTACAACGCTACTCGCTGCCTAATACCTATTTTTAAATTTTACAAAAATAAAAATGTGTTATGTAAACGTGACTTCCACATACTTTCTATGGAAGCTGTAAGTAGTGGTGTGTTAGGGTCCGTGTCAACTTATTGTCTGCGTGCAACAGTAAGGAACCTATATAGAAAGTTTCAGTGCGACAGCTTTAGATGGAAAGGGATTTTCCATAAATACAGTACACAGAGATACCGACAGAATGCGTTGCGTTTTGGGTTCCCATTGTCACGATGATCATATGTATATAAGCATTTCCACAAAAAGGTCCACCATGACCGAGACATTAAAAGGTTTTAAGCAAACAGTACTGCATATCAAAAAATAATCCAATTTAATTAATTTAAACGATTTTCATATGAATCAATTTACTATGATGAGCAAATCAACTTCAAAGTTGCATAAATGCAATTATTCGTTGTAGGGTATTTTTCAAGCTTTTTCCTTTTAATATTTATATATTTAAGAGAGGTGATACATAATAACTGTCATTCCACAAAATCTTCACAACATCTATTAAATAAAAACGAATGCAAAGAGATCATTTCGATCTCAATCAACGGTAAATTTTTAGTTGCCTTAGTTCATCTTCTAATGCTGTCGTTCGGAACACATAATTTATTTTCATTTCGTAATTGATTACAACAGGAAGAGAGTCGAAATTTGTCCCGAAATAACGTTTTTGTAAAATTATATACTATATATCTATATCGTACTGAACTATAAGTTACACTAAGTTCAATGACACATAAAAGTACATGTATCTCTTAATCTTACAATATTCTTGTATATCATAATAATGTAGCATGCTTACTGCATTGTGAAATACCCATAAACAGCAGTTTTAGTTGATGTGGAATACACCGGACTAAGACTGCCGCAGCCCGGCCCGTTCCTGCAATAAAATATTATCGCAGATTTAAAAGCAGCTGCTTGCTCGTTTTTGTGTATCAGGACTTCTTTTCAAAGTTTTGGCGCGCCTACTGGGTACTGGGTATATATATATATATATATATATATATATATATATATAAATATATATATATATATATATATATATATATATATATATATATACATCACATATACATTAACGCATACAAATATTGTCAACTTTGACTGTAGTTTTAACAAGCAATCACTCAAACGCTTAACCAAAACAGGCTCACCCCGCTTTGGTTCGTCCACTGGAACGAACAACAACAGCAGCCACAACAACCACACTGAAAACAATGCAACAACTGCTGCCAATAGCCAGCAGCAGCAACAACAACATCAACAGCAGCAGCAACATCTCATCAATGGGATGAATATGAGTCCGCACCCGGCCATGATGGGTGTGGGCGGCATAGGCAGTGGCGGTGGTAATGGCATCATTGGCCTTGGCGGCGGTGGCGGAAACAGTTATGCTTCCATGGGTGGTTATGGCCAACCACAGAGTGCAAATGATTTTTATGGTCGTGCACAGACCGGTAAGCCGTGGCACGCTAATTTGCTACATTCACAGGCGCCCTAAGCAAATGCTAACTTTATTTTTAAGCGTGTATGTGCATTCATCCTGTATATATATATATATATATATATATATATATATATATATATATATATATATATATATATATATATATATATATATATATATATATATATATATATATATATATATATATATATATATATATAATTCATTTACATAGAACCGATCATCAGTAAAAAATTTATTACACACCCGATACCTTACACCCAACTGAAACACCATCGAATTAAGCTACATACCTACTTTATGTATGTTTATGTACATATATTACTCTATCACTCCTATTTCAGGGCACCTATATACCACTGTGTACAAATCCGGAATTATGATTAAATCTAGCAGGTGTTTCGATAGACACAAATCTTTCTTCTTTTAAGATATAACAGCATTATATACTTATCTTTATTGCTTACATATGTGGACTTGCTTAACAAAGAAGTTCGGAAGCTCTAATTTAGAAATGCATTAGAAATGTGAGGAATGTTGCAGACGGCTTCCGCCTTTGTGAAAAATACCGGTTTATGAATGGCATAAAATATTCAAAGAAGGTCGAGCGGTCGTAGCGTTAAAGACGAACTACACGTTCAGTAAATACAAAATTTGGTTCTGCAAATTTTTCGATTGACAACTGATGAGACATTGCTGATGTTGATGGATCAGTCAACAGAATTTCAATATAACTTTTGTGTCTCGTAAAAGTCAAATCTCGTTTGGTAAAAAAAAAAACACCAAAAACTATTTTAAAAAACGATTTATTTTAGTTTATTCATTCCATCCGGCAGAAATTTATTTAAAGGCGATAAAGAAGTTTTTACGAATAAATAAATATTTTGAAAGATATAACCATAAGTCCGGTTATTGTATATACACAGTAGTATATACACCTGTATATTAAAAAATGTGTGCATATCTAATAATATGTTTATGGGGTTTATGTTTTATAATTGTGTTATCATTGTAAATAACAAAAAAACCAAGTGTACACATGATTTTAAAGATTTTCTTTATTTGTAATGTAAGTAAATATAAAAAAGGGATGCACCTAATAGATAATATTTAAAGTACATTTGAAGTAATGAGCACAGAATAACGAAAATAACTCTTGCTCACTGCGTTTATAATATTATTTTACTTAAATAATTGACTGGCCCATACCAGAGGCATATTGTCAGAGGTATTCTATCGAATACAAATAATCAACCTTACCGAAAATACCTCGAATTGTGGCTTTTCATTTATTAAGTAATTGCTATTTGGAGCATTCCCTGTTATGTCGTAAGCATTGTTAGCTTTGTAAGTTTGTATCTTATTTAATAAGCTTACGCCCTTGCAGGATTGTCCTTATTGTTTTTGTTGTCTTGTATATTTATTGTATCTATGTGTAATATCTGAGCTAAGCAACAATGTGACTAAAAAACTTTAAATACTGTGTACGTACATACTGCACTCGCGAGCTAATACTGATATCCAGCTGTTTCTCGCTCTTGCAGCTGGTAATCCCGGCGGAAATGTGGCAACAGGCACCGCTAGTTCTGGAAACTCGGTTGGCAATGCCAATTCCTCCGAATTCGTAAAGCAAGAGCTTCGTGCTGTCGTTAGTGTGCGGGCACAACAGGCAGCAGCAGCGGCTACAAGTGGGGCAGGTGGAAGCAGCAGCGGAGTAGGAGCGCGTGGCCCCACGCCACAAAGTCCGCTGCAACAGGGACCAATGATTGCCAGCGGAAATAGTACAAATGCCATGGGAAGCACAACATCAAGTGGCACTGTCAACAGTAGTAGCAACAACACTGTGCTCAATACGCCTCCAGACCCAACACTCGGCTTTAACTTTGAAACGCGTGAGCAGAAAGCAATATAAAATTTAAATAAATATTAATTACATGCCTTATTCCCTATAGCGGACTTCTATACCAGCAGCGCCACAAGGTGACCCTAAGGTGCCTAAACATCAAAATAAACAGGAAAACAGCATCTAGCAACTGCTAAAAACTCGTATAAAATGTTCAACGCATTTATGGCTCTAAACGTTTTCAAACGGCGCCGCATTTTGTTTCGATACAAAGCAGCTACACACAAAATTGAAATGTGAAAAAAAGAGTACATATGAATAACCTATACGGCACTGTCTAAACATTATATGTACATGTATGTATGTGTCTAATTTCTGCACATAAGCCAAAAGGAAATATATAGTTTATATTTATTATTAATACTAGCAAATATTAATTATAATACATAATTAAACATAGTTTAAACAAAACAAAACAGAAATGCAAAGCGGGAACCTCGTCTATAATAATTTAAAATACTTTACAGACCCGTTATAGTTAAATATTTTCAAATGCTTAATAAAAGATATTTATTATTATGTATATTTGATATAAAGCATAGAATTAAGTGCTATGTATACAATGGAATGTGGCTGGCAAACGTTTCATAGTGTTGTTAAATTGATACATACATACTATATTTGCATAGTAGTATACACATAAAAATAAAAAAGTGAAAGAAGTTTATACCATATTTGACAATGATTGAACTTGGACACGCATCTGCTTACTAGATTTGAGATTGTATGAAATTCAAAATAGCAAAGGAGAAAAACATATATATATATATATATATATATATATATATATATATATATATATATATATATATATATATATATCTATATATATATCTATATATATATATATATATATATATATATATATATATATGTATATATATTATTTAATTTTAATTAACTATTATTATATAGTTATTTAATAGTTATATACACATATACATGCATATACAGTTAAAAATAGTGTTGAATTTTTTTCAGTGTGATAATTTGTTAAATTTGTCCAATACTACATTGCTAATTTTTGTTTGCTATAGAGTGCGTTGTGCAATTCGGCGGACAAGTAGTAAAACAGAACCGTATCAATAAGTATTAAGCTCCACGTCACGTCTCTGTTGTTATTTGTCAAACATTCTTTTGTGTCTGCAAATTTACTTTAATAACGAGCTCCTGAGTGGTTTATTTAAGTGGCTCAAAGTTCAATTCTCAAAAATTGTAAGTCATTTAATGCCCAACATTCAGGCTAGACAAAAACCGCTATGTGTTACTTTACATTTATTAACTAAAAAGCAAAAAGCACATTTATTTACATGGCTTAGTTTCAATATAATTTGTTTAGTCAGCTGTCTTGTTACACACAATTTCAAAGAAATGTTTTATTACTTTACTATGCGCGCCGTTTGAATAGGTAATGTTTACTTTGGTGAAGCCTAACATAACTCCTATTTATGCATATGTACATATGTATAGCATATTGTAAAAATGACTGCAATGTAATATGTTGGCGCACTACGCGCTGTAGTTATTGTGAAGGCTATTTTGCAGGTTTTGTTTTAACTATTTTTTAACCAAATAGAATTTTTCTTTTACTGTATCGATATTTAAAGCTTTGTAAGTTAGAGGAAACGGTAAAGTAAACTTTGAACGTTTTCTATGATGTAATTTTGCATTGACTTTACCTTTTTCATGTATCTAAGTTGGGTTTAAACGTTATAAACATTATATTTTAATTGCTACATATACATATATAACATATAGCTATTATTTTATATTTTATTAAATATGTTTGATAAAAAACTGAATAAAACGTACTATATACAGAAAAAAAATAAAACCCATGAACGTAATTTTTATTTGATTAATTTGTATGCTGTTGTTTTATATTTATACAAATACTTTTGTGAATTTACTATGCTTACAGAAATATAACAACCAAAACGTAAGTAACATAAAAAGGCGATATTTACTCTTAAGAAAATAGAAATACCTCTTATTAAGTTCAAAGCGTATGAAGAAATAAAATAATATAATTATATACCTAAACATACTCTTAGATTAAGTGTGTGTATGTACCAACCGAGAGAATACGAAAATTATAAATATCATCCATATGTAAGTGCTCATAAACACCGGAAAACGTATATATGGCATTCATGCATTTCTTCATAATTATCAGGGACTTCAATCAATATAAGTGTTACTGTAAATATTTGACCATTGATTATTTTTAGTTTTTACTTGATTCTCTCACAATATATTGATTATTTTTGAGTTACATTTCATACAACTCAACCAAAATTCATATTTTTGAAAAATAAATAAATGTCATTACAAATGGATTATTTCAGAGTATGAAAACATAATTTAAAAAATTATTTAAAAAATATATTATTATAATATATGTATTATATTTTGAGATTATTCATTAAACGTTAAATCTATTTTTTATTTGATTTCACCAAAAGTAACTTCTGCAATGACTCCGGCGTGAGGTTGCACCAATGACTGACAACTGCAGCCGTGGTCTGTCTAATTTCATAAAATACCTGCCTTCTTTGTTTTTATCAAATGTCAAAAACTAAGGAATAATTAAGTTTTCAATGACTATGTGCTCAGTGAAGTGAATTCAAGGTGGCATTAATTGATCTTTTACGAAAAATGCCATTTCCTGTATTGAATTCAAACAGCTTCAAAATTTAAACAGCACAAAATTTTATTGGCCTACGTATATCAGTGGTGACTTCAAGACAAATGTAATGAATGCGGTAGAGGAAGAGTACAATCAAATAAAAAATCATAGATTCTTTATATAATAACATGCTATGTCTAAAAATGGACACATCCACTAAATTAAATAGTGAAATCTTCAGTAAAACTACCCAATATTATAACGGCAATGAGATTTTTGTGAGAATAAGTTTTAACTATAAAAAAATAAAGCATAGCTCAAAATAAACCAATAAAAATTATAAACTCTTAAATCATGATGAAAATGCATGGTTCTTGAAAATATATATTGGTATATTTTTCGCTTCCTCAAAGTTACTATAAATAAAAGGTTTCTTCGATTTAAAAATAAAACAATCATTATTTGGGGTCCCTGATAATTATCGATGTACACAAATTTATGTAAATAAAAGTATGTATTTAGTTTTGTGTAATAATTTTACCATAATAAAACCAGTTTACTTAGAACATAAAGGTTTATATTATTTCACAACTTTTCAATAAGAACCAGCATAACTCAATTTTTACTCACATATACCGCATTCTTTATAACTATTAAATATTAGTAATATTTTTAGAGCATAAGTATAAGAACGTATATAGGTACATAAGGAAACAATTTAGGGGAATTATTTCACACAGCAACACAAAAAGTACATATAAAGTGCATTAATGAGTTTAAGCATTTATTGGAATTAATAAAGTCTTAAAACGATATATAATTATGGTGTTTAACAGATTATATATAACAAATATTTACAATAATCTTAAGAAATGGAAGCAAGAACGAAAGTAATTAAATTTGGAAACCCTTTTTATAAATGCGTACCGAATTATAAAAACCAATAAAACGTTATCACAGATCAAGTTTGTAATACACATTACATAGCTAAAAGCTTTGAAACATAATAAATATGTACTTAAAATGATAATAAGTAGGTACATTTGCTATAAAAATTGTACATCACTTGAATAAATTTCATTACTAGCCTAAATTTACTCTCAAAGGATTGTGTATATTTAATTTGTAAAATGTAGGAGCGGAAGTAGCTATAGTGCTGCAGAGATTGGGAAACAAAATGCTATGCCCTGAATTATTACGTATATAAAACAAACAGAACACCTCTTAAAGAAAACTGTTGAAAGTATTTTTGCAACATACACCAAACTTAAACACAAGAGCCCTGAACCGAAATGATTAGTGCCCAAAAATAAAACACAAAATAAAATAAGTAGAGTTAAGCAAAAGCCATAAAAATTCTAAAATAACAGCACGATTTGTAAAATAAAACAAGTGTATTTCATTACGTAAAATGGAGAATATATTGGTATTGAGACTATTAAGGAGAGTAAAATGTAGAATTTTTTACTCTCATTAATATATATGCAACAACTGAAATAAATGGTTTATTCCTTACTAAATAATACATACATAAATAAGTAGATAGCAACAGCTGAGGAAAACAGGAGATAAAAACGAAGTATTGGTGATTGGCTGTGTAAACAGAAAAATAACATGAAAAGAAACACACATGAAAGCATTCGACGAATTTTGACTAACACACATTTTTTAATTAGCGCTTGGAAATGTCATGTTCACGTAACACATTAACTTATTTATTTATTTAGCCAAGTTTTTTCTACATTAAATAACGTTGAACAAACAAATTTTCTATTTAAAAAAAAGAAGAAGCTATTTATTGCATTTATTTTGATTTAAAGCTTAGTTACATATAAAAGCGTAAAGACCAAGCAATCTATTGCACAACAATTGCAAGAAACAAAATTCAGTTGGAACTCACGAATATACACAATATACTGATATTTTAAATCAAAACTACTTATTTTTGCCCCTAGGCTTCAAATTTATACTAATGCTGTTATAAAAAAAATGTTATGTTGTTATCACTAGCTGAGGACTAACGGTTTTTTTACTCCAATAAATCAAAATGCAAGCATTTTAAGTCTTCATATTTGTACCTTTTCGCTAAGTATCGTAATCGAACTGTATTGAATGTTTTACATAAAGCATACAAACATAGATTTATATTTGTAAATGAAGAAAAAATGTCAATAAACGGACTTCTAAAATATTTGTTATAACATGCATATGTAAACAATTTTCAATTAAATGTGTAAATGTACTGTGCGTAAATGATTGCGAAGCAGAATTTCTTAAATTCAAAGTTGGACGAAAAAAAGTTACTTTAAACTAAATTTTTATGCAAAATAAAACGACAAATATATAAAATATTTCATGCACATACCCCCAAAAACAAAGAACAAGAGAAGGATGTTTACAAATGTTGGCATTAGAGACGAGCACTATGTTTATATTTAACCTATAAACACATTTGTATTCATTTGTATGTATGTATGTATGTATTATTAAATAAACTCACTTTAAATTTATATAACGCAACAACATTAAGTAACAACAAACACTTATAAAAATTAACGGTTAATTATAGACCCAGAAACTGAACAAAATGAATATTGAAAATGAGAAAATGAAAAAGACTAAATAAATTAATAATGAAAATTATGGTGAACTTGAATTAAGTTGATCTTCTTGAAACCCCGCTACTCTTCTTATTTTGAGTTATGATCTTTTTTAACAAACAAGTAATGAAAAATAATAGCCGCTTTAAAATTGGATAAGCTTTGAACCTAACTCCGACTGACTGCGATAAAAAAAAACGATCGATCGATGCAAGGCTTAGTCGACGACTGTCAAATGAAAATAATATTTACGTGCTCCTCTGGAAAGCCGTGAAAACTTCTCTAAGAGTTTAAATGAAATATAAAACTACAATGACAACAATTTTAAATAGGTTCTTGCAGTATTGAAATGCATTTAGCTCTAAAAATGCTGATCTAGGATTTTTGACGCTGTTGAATTGGCAACTCTGGATCACACGATAGAAATGAAAAGACAAACAATGAGAATTTATTTTATTCTTTAATTCTACTCTCTTATGATTTCACTTGTATTGCGTGCTTTGAAAATGTTCGGG